GAAGGAAGGAAGGAAGGAAGGAAGGAAGGAAGGAAGGAAGGAAGGAAGGAAGGAAGGAAGGAAGGAAAGGGCCGTGGTGGCACAGTGGTTAGAATGCAATATTTGCAGGCTCACTCTGCCCACTGCCAGCAGTTCGATCCTGACTGACTGGCTTAAGACTGACTCAGCCTTCTTCCTTCCGACGTTGGTAAAACGAGGACCCAGATAGTTGGGGGCAAGAGATGATGACTCTGTAAACCGCTTAGAGAGGGCTGTAAAGCACTGGTAAAGCGGTATATAAGTCTAAGTGCTATTGCAAAAGGAGGGAGGAGGAAGGAAGGAAGGAAGGAAGGAAGGAAGGAAGGAAGGAAGGAAGGAAGGAAGGAAGGAAGGAAGGAGTCGTGGTGGCACAGTGGTTAGAATGCAATATTTGCAGGCTCACTCTGCCCACTGCCAGCAGTTCAATCCTAACTTGACTGGCTCAAGGTTGACTCAGCCTTCCATCCTTAAATGAGGACCCAGATTTTTTGGGGGGTAAAAGGCTGACTCTGTAAAACCACTTAGAGAGAGCAGTAAAGCATTGCAAAGCGGTATATAAGGCTAAGTGCTATTGCTATTTATTATATTCCCCAAACTTTGGAAAGCATAGAATTGCAGTGTAATGGCCAGCCGATAAATTTAATAAATAAAGTAAGTTTAATAAATGTACAGATGAGAAGAGTTTGCATTGGGAATTATTATTATTTTTTCTCCTAAAGTTGCCTTTGGCTTTTTAACGGAACGACATAATTGGGGCCGCGTTGCAGCTTTCAGGATTTATATACGGTGTTCTGAGCAGCCAAAGATAATTGATCTTAAAATCCGTAGAATCCTAGAGGGATTATAGGGAGGGGCCTAAGGGGACATCTATCCAACCCCCTTTCCCCCTCTCCTGGAAAACAGCTCTGAACGTCCAGCCTCTATTTAAAGATCTCCCCGGTTCAGGTTTCGGCCTGTTCCTGGTGGGTTTAAAAAGCCGCGAGTTCGAATCCTGCCCAAGGACGACAACTCCACAGCCTCCTCTGTATGACGAGCAAAAAAAACAACAAATGAAATAGAATAAGAAATAGAATGTAGAATAACAGAGTTGGAAGGGACCTTGGAGGTCTTCTAGTCCAACCCCCTGCTTAGGCAGGAAACCCTACGCCGCTTCAGACAAATAGCTATCCAACCTCTTCTTAAAAACTTCCAGTGTTGGAGCATTCACAACTTCTGGTGGCAGGTTGTTCCACTGATTAATTGTTCTCACTGTCAGGAAATTTCTCCTTTAGTTCTAAGTTGCTTCTCTCCTTGGTTAGTTTCTACCTGTTGCTTCTTGTCCTGCCCTATGGAGATTTTTCCAGCTGAAAAACCGGCTCGGTGGCTAAGACGCTGTGCTTGTCGATCAGAAAGGCTGGCAGTTCGACGGTTCGAATCCCTAGGGGCCGTGTAACGGAGTCAGCTCCTGTTACTTGTCCCAGCTTCTGCAGTTTGAAAGCACGTAAAAAATGCAAGTAGAAAAATAGGAACCACTTTTTGTGGGATGGGAACGGCGTTCCGTGCGGCTTCGGGAGTTGAGTCATGCCGGCCACATGACCACGGAGACGTCTTCGGACAGCGCTGGCTCTTCAGCTTTGAAATGGAGAGGAGCACCGCCCCCTAGAGACCAGCACAGAGGTGCGAGGGGAACCTTTACCTTTTTGTTTGAAATCACCTCCCAACTATGATGGATTTTTCCCCCCTCTGCTAAACCGTGCTGATTTTAAAACAAATAAACCAGACCCAAAGTGCCAGCTAGTTGCTGGCATTTTTCAATCTATATTGCAACATCAATCCACAAGCTTTATTCTCTGAAATATTTCTGTAGTACTGCTTGTCCACGGGGAACGGCGGAGGGAGGAGTGAAAATTGGATGCAGGTATAGTCCTTGCCTTAAGCACCACAACCGAACCCCAAATTTCCAGGCGCTAAGTGAATTCCCGTCCCATTTTACGACCTTTCCAGCCACAGTTATTCAATGAACCGTAGCAATTATTCACAGGGCGGTGAAGGGAACCTGGCTTCCCCCTTGACTTTGCCCGCCGCAAGCTTTCCTAGAACATAGAATCGTAGGCTTGGT